GGGGGGTGGGTCGGGGGAGGGGAGGAGCGGGATTTGCGGAGCGCGGCGCCGCTGCCGGGAGCCGGCGGGCCCGAGAGTGACCGAGTCACGGCGGGCGCCGGCGGAGCCGCGGCGTCGGACCCGCCTCCTGGAGGAGCTCAGCCCCGGCCAGGCCCGGCCCCATTCCCGCCCCGCGCCGCCTCCCCGCCGCCGCCGCCGCCGCGGGAGCGCTCCCCTGCCCACCCCGCCCCCGCGGCCAAGCCCGGGAGTCGAGTGGGAGTCGGCCGGCCGGCGCGGGCAGCGCCGGGACCCTGCGGGGGACACTGCAGCCGGAGCCCGGGAGGGGCCGCGCCGCCACCGTCTGAACTAGGATGTCCCGACATGAAGGTGAGAGGAGCCCCCGCCCCCACCCCCACCGCTCGGGCCTCGGCCTACCCCGCCCGGACCGGCGCCGCGGAGGGCGGCCGGGAAGCGACGGAGACTTTGGCCGAGCCCGAGCCGGGCCTGAGGCGCTGGGCCCGGGAGCAAGCGAGGGCGGAGAGCCGCGGCGCCGCTGCCGCCGCCACGGCCGCGGCCCTGAGATGGGCCTGGTGCCGGAGGCGGGGCGGCCGGGTCGGCCGGAGGGTTTGCACTGTCATGGGGCGGGGGAGGGGGAGGGGAGGCGGCGGGGCCCGTTACCGGCGGGAGCCCGGCTCTCGGGACTGATACCGGACGCCGAGGCCCGGCCGGCCGTCCCGGGAGCCCCGAGCCCCGGCGCGGCCTAGCACTCCCGCCGCCCCGGAAGGGCCCGGTGCGGTCGCACAGCAGGGCCGCGGGCGGCGGCTGGAGGCAGAAGAGCCAACCCGGGACCTGGCGGGCGCGTCCGGTCGCCGGGAGACGACGGCGAGTCCCCCCGCCTGCGGGCGACCGCGGGCGGGCGGGAAGGCTTTGCGGCCGGGGGACGGGAAGCTCCCACCGCCTGGAGCCCGCTTGGCCTCGCGGCTAGGCCTCGGCGCGTCCCTGGGCTCGGGTAACCAAGTTCCCGGGTGGATCCGACCCGGCCGCGGCGAGCAAACTCCCTGCTCAGTCACCCCGCTGGAGCGGGCTTGCTCACGGCCTGCCCCAGGGCCCTCATCGGCGTGTGCTGCCTACCAAACCAGGTTTTGGTAAATCACCATGGTGAGGTCTGTTAATGGTCAGGGGGCATTTTGGACTTTGTTGTACCATTTAAAAACACGATTGGGGTACAGTTGTAAATAAGCAGACAGCTCTAGCCCAGTCCCAGGGCACAAAGAGACAAATGTTTAAGGCCGATGTATAGATATTGAGTTGGTAAAAAATAAGTTAACTTTAATTTACTGCCATATGGTTTCGAAAAGGGGGAGGGGGGTTGTGTTTTCTTTGTTCACTACTACAGGTTTTTAAGTAGAAGTATTAAGAGACTTGGCGAAAAGTTAATTAATCCTGGTAAGGTTAATGCAGGATTGTAGAAGTGGCTTTAAAGTATTGTATACTCTTGATTTTAAAATGCTTGCATAGGTGATGTAGGAGTGGAGAAAGTTTAGTGAGTCAGATTAATGTGTGCTTCACAGCGTGCCAAGGAAGGGTATTCTTTGGGAAATACAGACCTTAGAATTTCAAGGTTGAAAAACCCAGATTGATTAAAATTATACTTAGAGTAAGTTTCAGAATTTGCATTACTAATTGCAGTGTTGAGATTGAATCAAAACATTTTGTGTTCAAGGTTTCTATATTTCAAAAGTTACAAAACTAATAGGAAGTATACTGTATTTTCTTCACAAAGCATTTATTGAGTACTTACTGTGTTCAAGTGTTGGACATTTTGAAATAATGAGGTACTTAGTTCCATTGAAAGGAACATAGAAATATTTGGAAGCTATACCTGTTTTCCCATTTTATCTGCTTACTGGAAATGTGTCCTACCTCTGTAATTTAAAAAAAGTCGTAATTGGAGTTATAATCAAATTTCAATTTGGGATATTAAAGTAAACTTTAACTGTAGTCCTGTGTACATTGACCACTTTAGACAAAATGAAAGTGAGCAGTGGCTGCAGGCTCTTACTCATAAGAACTGGGAAAGTTAAAATTACAGAATCATAGTCGTGGAAGGATGTTTGAGACCCATTCTCCTGGCTTTAAGAAAGCATCCAGATAGTTTCAGACTGAGCATTCTAATTGAATGCTGTCCTGGGAAGATTTCCTTCACTCTCAGTGCTTTGTTGGAGTAATTAAAATCCCATAGTTGGAACATTATTGAATGTATTATACATTCTATAATTTAAGCCCATTTTTCCCTATTTGGTCCTTTGGAAATGTGTGTGGTTATGAAATTTATATTACCTTGTAGTTATTTGAATATTGCTGAACCTCAGCACCCTAATAGCACACCTTTCCTGGTAACTTGTATTAATGTCAGATATTTCTGAAAAGGGAACATTCCTAAATATATCTGTTGAAAATTTATAGTACAATATTTGACAAGTGACTAACATCCAAGGGTCTAGTAGTTAATGGCCTAAAGCAGGAATAGCCTCATGAATCACATTTTATTCATTACCTATATGTTTTGCGGAATATTAGTTCAGACTGTTACTATTGTCATCAGTAAGAATTTGACCTATCAGCAAATATAGTTTGACACCCTCACTGTTATCGGTTCTTTTCTCACTTTTATCTTTTTTGGACCAACTAATCTTATTTCTTTTATTGTATCTTCAGTGGTATGATTTTTGAGCTCTCTTAATCATCTATGTGCCTCCAAATTCTCTGTAGTTCTCCTTGTTTCCTTTTGGTAATGTGACCCAGAACTGGATGTAGCAGTCTGGTAAAAGGTCTGAACTGTCCTGGCTATAATGTACTTGCATGGTGCTTCCTTTTCAGTGCCTTCTATGTGCAAGTAATTTGTTACATTGTCTTTGTGCCCACTCTAAGGAATTGCACTATATCATATGATTGTATTAATGATGTAACCTTGGACAGCACAGCCCCAGAGTGGACACCTGTCAAGCTTGGAAGCCCAACCTTGTGAAGCAGTGGACTGCCTCTGAGAAAGCAGATGCAACCAGGAGCATAGAGAAGTGCTCTATCCCAGGGGTCAGCATACTTTTTCTGTAAGGGGTCAAGTAGTAAACATTATAGGCTTAGCAAGCTGTGAGATCTTTGTCAACTCTGCCGCTTTAGTACGCAGGTAGCTATAGACAACATGTAATTGAGTGAGCATGGCTAGGTTCCAATTAAAACTTGATTTATGGACACTGACATTTGAATTTCATATACTTTTCATGTGTCACAAAATATGATTCTACATTTGATTCCCCCACCCCACCATTTAAAAATATAAAAACCCTTCTTGGCTTGAGGGCTACATAAAATTGATGGTGGTCAGATTTGTCCCAAGGGCTGTAGTTTGCCTACCTCTGCTCTAGACTAGAGCTTTAGAGAGTTGATGGAACTGGAACTGTTGGGAGTCTAGAAAGGGCCCACTCTACTTGGTATTCCATTGTGGTGACTGAGTCCATGAACTGAACCAATTCTTCTGTACCTCTGTTTCTAACAGCACCATGTAGATTGGGATAGATGTAATTGTTCCTCAGGGGTAAGGAACAGGCTCATTACCTTCCCAGACCCTGTCTGAGTAGAGATGGCAGTACATCAGTTACTACGTCAATTAAGTTTCCTACTTGTCCATTGTGACTTTTCTAAGGAGAATTCCAGGGCCTCTTTTAACTCACTTTGTAATGTTTTTGTCATGTTAATAAACATTTTACAAACATTACCACCCAATCACTTTATGTTCACCATACCAACACTATCTAGTTCTGTATTATACACAGTGAAAGCAATCATTTTTTTAAATGTGTATTTTTTAAAATGTCTCACTACCATACTTTCTTTTAAATACATTTAAAATATTAGTATGTTATTCAGGGCTTAAAATCCGCTTAATGGCTTTGCAGATTTAAAAAAACTCTTATCAAATTACACAGTGCTTATTAGCTAAAATGAAATTATGAATGTTCTTCCTTGAATTGGAGCATAATTAATTAGCTGGACTTAGGTATACATATATTGCCTGAAATAATTCTACTTTTTTTTTTGGTTGCTGCTATGTATAAGGCACTCTGTTAGTTACTAAGGAATGTGGGGATGAATGAATGAGGCACAAGTCTTCACCTTAAGTCTGGTGGGGAAGATGCATTTGTACAGAGCTTCCATGGCACAATGTGAAACGTGCCATAAGGAAGGGATAAACAAATTGATGACAAAATAATTACCATTTTTTTCTGACTGATTTTTCCCAATTTCAGAGAAGGAATCTACTGTGATTCTAACACTTTTTTTTTTTTTCTGAGACAGGGTCTTGCTGTGTTGCCCAGGCTAGAGTATAGTGGTGTCATCATATAGCTCACTGCAACCTCAAACTATGGGCTTAAGTAATCCTCCTGCCTCAGCCTCCCTTGCATCTGGGACTACGGGCACACACCACTACATCTGGCTAATTTTTCTTTCTTTCTTTCTTTTTTTTAGATATGGGGTCTTGCTATGTTGCCCAGGCTGGTCTTGAACTCCTGGCCTCAAGCGGTCCTCCCACCTCAGCCTCCCAAAGTGCTAGGATTTCAGGCGTGAGCCACTGCACTGCCCCTAACACCTTTTTTTGAGTGCCTTCTTTCTGGACCACTCTTGATTTTGGGTAAAATTGTTTGAGATTTCAAATAGAGTTCTTATCTTTACCTGATTTATAATTCCCCTAGCTTTTGGAGGATTTTCACATGTAAAAATGATAGTGGATAAATGGGCAGGTGATCGTATTGTTACGCTATTCTCAGAAGCATTTAATATAATTTATTTTCAAAATGTAAAGTACAAGACTATGTAGGCCATTAATGTAGTTAGTTCCCTTTTTTTGTTTTTTTTTTTCTTTAACTGGCAAAAATTGTATATATTTATCATGTACAGCATGATGTTTTGAAATAAGTATACGTTGTAGAATGACATTCCTAACTTTTTGAAAGTTGTACCACTCTTTTCTTGGTAGATTTTAATTTTGTCTTCTCAGAAAATGCTGTCTGCCACCAAAAACACACATACTGACAATCCCAGAGTGAATTGCAATAATTTTGGTTTCAAGATTTAGGGAACTACAAAACCAGGACTGGTAATTAGCACATGATTCTAATGTGGTGCCTTTTGCCTTTTTGTAGAAAAGTAAATTGACTCCCACTGATAAGATCCCTACCCTCATGTCTTCTTACAACTTATTTTGCTTTAACTTTTATCTGTTAAAAGATTGTGACATTCTTAAAACTTTTTCCATTTCAATAAATCATGAATTAGATTTGCTTTGACTTTTGTAGGGAATAGATAAGAATGTAAATTTATGGGAAAAT